CCCACCGATCTCCCCATCTCCCTGGATAATAGACCCTAGGTACTTGAAACTCTCTCTTTTAGGGATGACTTGTGAGTCAAGCCTCACTTTTACGTCCACTTCCTCCGACACGTCGCTAAACTTACACTCCAAATATTCCGTCTTGGTCCTATTCAACTCGAAACCTTTAGACTCCAAGGCTTGACTCCATACCTCCAGTCTCCCATTAACGTGCCTCGCGTCTCATCAATTTGAACTATATCATCAGCGAACAGCATACACCAAGGCACCTCCCCTTGAATATGGTGTATCAGTGCGTCCATCGCCCGGGCAAATGAGAACGGGTTAAACGTAGATCCTTGGTATAACCCCATAACCACCGAAAACGGTTGTGAGTCACCTCCCACATTCCTAATATGAGTCTTAGCTCCATCATACATATCTTTTATCGCCATAATATAAGCTACTGGTACACCTTTCACCTCACGACATCTCTAAAGAGCGTCCCTAATGACCTTGTCATATGCCTTCTCTAGTTCAATAAACACCATATGCAAATCCCTCTTCCTATCTCTGTACTGTTCCACCAACCTCCTAATCAGGTGGATATCTGTCTTGGCTTTTTTTGTATATAATATAAGTGATATCCAAAAATAATTTTCTAGGGAAGCCTATGTCACGACCCAAATTCCGTTATAGGTCGTGATGGCACCCAACACTTTTCTTAGGTAAGCCAACCCTAATCAACTAGTGAGTTCTCATTTATTTTAATAAACAATCTAAACATTTATTTAACTAAAATTTAAAACAATCGATAATTAATAAATATATAAGGCAACTAAATCGGGAAAGACTAAAGGGAATCATAATAACAGGAATACAACCCAAAAATAATAGTCTACTAATGTGTATGCCAGGATCCAGTGTCACAAGTACTAGGGCAACTAGTAGAATGTATAAAAGAATATAACTATCATACTGCCAGAAATAGAATAGACAGTAATAACAAAAGGGAGAAACTCCGGCATGCTGCTGAACAGCTCAGAAGGGGCAGCTCACCGTGGGATCTCGGTCAAGTATCAGGACCGCGTGCCGGATGCCTAGCTAGATGCACCTGCCTCAGATCTTGTACAATTAAGTACATAAGCATAGTATGAGTACATAAATAATACGTACCCAGTAAGTATCCATTCTAACCTTGAAGAAGTAGTGACGAGGAGTCGACTTGACACTTACTAAGGTCAATAATAATATAATTTAAGTATTATGCTAAGCATGGATGTCATGAATAAATAACAGGAAGTGGCAGGTTCTTTCATAAATAATATTTCAGTTAACAATCTATATTTCAAGGCATTTAAAGCAGTTCAAATCACAGAAAGTACCAAGCAAGCAACATGCGCAAATAATGCCGAGCTCGAACGACCCGATCCAACATAATAATAAAGTGTGCACTGCTGGAGGGTCGAACGATGCGAACCATAGATGCATCTGTTGCCCCGCTCGCGAATCATACATGTGACACAGTCAAATAAGAATAAACACATCAAACAGTCAATCAAAAATTCATCAGGAAAGCAATTACCTAAAGTAATGTTAACTTCTCTTTAACTGTCAAAAAAATGATGTTTAACTTTTTAGACATTCATTTTCCAAATTCGATATGATTTACGCACTTTAAATTGACAACAAATTACAAGTACGACAAGTAAAGCATGCTTTTGGGTCCTAGACTACCCGGACTTAAGCATAATAGTAGCTACGCATGAACTCTCGTTACCTTGTGCGTACGTAGCCCCCGTAATTAGTGACACATATTAAACTATTGCTCCTATGGGGATAATTCCCTCTTACAAGGTTAGAAAGGAGACTTACCTTGCCTCAAAGCTTACTTCAAAATTCAAGAATGCGCTCAAACTCTCAAATCGGAGCCGAACGATCCAAAACTATTCAAATAGGGTAAGAACTAATCAATACATGCTCAAGAGTTCATATTCTAACTATTAATGTAATTTCTCAACCCTAAATGCAAGGTTCCTAAAATTCATCCCCAGGCCCACGTGTCCGGATTCCGAAAATTTTCGAAGAAAGTTGTTACTCATAATCTAAGGATCAAGAATATACAATTTCTACTACATTCCATAACAAATTTCGTGGTTAAATCTCATTCTTATCAAAACCCTAGATTTTACTCTAAACCCATAATTTTCACTAATTTACATGTTGTAATCTTCCCATAAACTATGTATTAAACTCACATTAAGTAGAAATAACTTATCTCACAAAGCTAGGTCGAAATCTTCCCTTTTGAAGCTTTTAAATCGCCCAACAATGGAGTAAAATATGTCAAAAATGACAAAACTCCCGTATTAAATGAAGGCCACTGCCTTCAGCATTTCTGCATCTGTGATGAGGGGACCACATCTTCGGTCTCGCTTCTGCAAAAGATCATCCGCTTTTGCGGAATTTGGTCGGGCTAGCTGGGGCTGCATCTGTGGTCGGGTGGCCGCTTGTGCGGAAGAGGAGCCGCATCTGCGGAACCTGGGCTCCTCCCCTTGGGCCGCATCTGCGATGACTTAGCCGTTTCTGCGGGCTCGCACTTGCGGCTGGCCAACCGCAGGTGCGGTTATGACAACAATCTGGAACTTCAACTCCTTCTCAAAATTTCAACTTAGCTCGAGCCTCATCCAATTGACGCTCGGGGCTCCCAGGGTCCCGCTCGAACATACCGACAAGTTTAGAATCATAAAACAGACTCACTCGAGCCCTCGAAACGCCTGAAACAACATTAAAACTGTGAAACACACCCTAAAACCAATTGAATCAAACTTATGAACTTCAAGTTCTTCAATCTACTTCCAATATACCGAAACATACTTACACTACTCGGAATGATACTAAAATTTGCAGGCAAATCTTAAATGGCATTAATAGATTAATGAAATTAACTGATTATAAGCACCACACAAGATGTTCTTTAATATTATGTGAAAAAATCACATCCAATCAGCTTATACTCCAAAAATTACAAAAATAAAAAATAACCCCTACCCTATCACACCTGGAGAAGAACCATTAAGTTTTTCTATGCACAAGAGAACAGTGAATGGCCAAATAAAAAATCTCGCATCTTGGTATGTAATAATCAACAAACCAGGAACTCCCCAGTCCAATTTTTGGGGCATTATTTCTTAAAAATCCATTCAAGATTATCATCTATGATTTGAGCGTTTACCTGTTACAGATTGTTGAATAACTATTTCATATAATCTATGATTTATTTTATGATTTTTCTTCCTATTGCTTGGATTCTTCAAAAAGCATACAAAAATCGAATGTACAACTGTAAAATTTGAGAAACAGGTTTGATCTTGAAAGTGGAAATCACATTATCACTATATAACTCCATCAACAACTACGAAAATTGGAAAATTGAGACCTAGAAATTAAAGAAATCGAGAAAGAAAAGAAAGGGCAACTTGATTCGCTTCACATTAATTTTTTAAAACCTAGGATTTGAAAAAATTCCTAAGTTTCAAAGTACTTTGGGGGAAATAAAAAACGAAAAAGGAGAGGGTGAGAGAGAGAGAGAGGCGGAGGGAGGGAGGGGTCGAATTACTTGGGAATTGAGTGAAGTGAGAAGCGTCTAGAGTGGAAGATACAGAGGGGAAAACACGATGTGAATAGAACGAGGGAAAACTTAAGGTTTTGTGGATAATAATAAAACTTTCCCACTACTACCTAGGAAATCTTTGTGGGAAATCTTTTTCATAATTATAAGAAAAATGTAAAAATATCCGTTTACATTGAATCTATGGGAATATGTAAAAAAAAAAAATTATTTATTGTTTAAGTTCCCACTGTCTTCACTAGGAAATTTTTTCAGTTTTATATAATTATTTTTTAATAACTTTTCCCACAGAATCAGAGGGAACTAAATCCCGCACATTTTTGCGCCAAAACTTTCCCACGGATAGTCAATGGCAAATGTTATTATTTTTTTAGGAAAAAGAATTTTAATTTTCTCATTGTATTTCGGTGGAATTTGCCACTGAAAACTTTTCCATGGGAAATTTCCGTGGAAAAATAATGTGTTTCTAGTAGTGTACTTTATACAAACTTCAATTAAAAACTCACTTAGCTATTTAAATTTTAAACATTAATATGATGCACTTCTTAGCTATCAATAAATTTCTAACCACTAATTTACTTTTAATTATGGTTATAATTCTGTAATAGCAGCACAACATTTGAATTAACATCTTGAACTTATGATACACGAATGAATAATGTCGAATAGAATGGGCGAATGAGAATTATTCGTTTTAGCAAAGTCCTTTCTTATCAACACATGGAGTTATTTCTCTCTTCAATGGTTGAACCTCAAAAAGATTGGAATTTGTGACCTAAAGCAATTTTTAAACTAATTGTATCATTACAGTGAAATTCAAAAGTCAACATATATGAAAATCGGTCACTTTCTTCATTAGAACATTTCTTTCCAATTTCAAGGTTTTTATTCCTCCATGATCGACGAGCATCATAACATTCTCAAGATCAAATTTTCCTTGGGAGAGCATTTCTTTCACGGATTAGAGCTTCATTTTCCTTCTTTAAACTGCACATGAGATTTGAAACTCTAGGAGGAAGCTCTTTTCATCCTAAAAACCAAAAATAAATAAAACAAATTTACAAACAAATCGGAATAATTAAAAGAACCCATCAAAAAATTTATTTACCTCATGCTTCGGGCACGTGAAAAACCTTCTCCTAGCACTTAAAGGTGTCCATGCCATGAAATAATTGGCAGTAAGTCCGTAATGACACCTCCCATTCGACCCATTTGAGCTACTAGAACATTCCGACATTGTCTTTTGTTATGATTCGACCCCTTTGAGATACTAGGATTTAATGAAGTCATTGCCGTTCATTTGAATGTTTGTGTCTATGACTTAGTTTATTTGTTGTGATAATTAGTTTGGTGTTGTCAAATAGGTGTCTAAGTAAACTGATATGAAGTTGTAAAGTGTTTGAGAAATGAATATTATAATTAACTCATATATGCCCCTGTACAATTCAAACTAGGTCTAACTTGCCCTCACATATATTCCACGTGGCTTTATGAGTCTTCCGTTAGTGATGGAGGGCATATACGAGCCCATTTGTTGACGGCAAAGGCAGAATAGACACCAACTTTTAACGGAGGGCTAGCCTGTCCTATTTCATATAGTAAAGGGGCATTTTAGGCCCTTTCCCGTAGAATCAATTAGAAAGTATATATAATAAGACAGAATGGTGCTTGAAATCCTGCACCTACTGCTTCAGTTACGTAACTCGATTTAGCTGTTAATATATACAGGTTCCTTCTGCCAAAGCACCTTGTTATCATCTCCAAATAATTGGTGGCGAGGATCTTTGATCCTGAAGGGAGATTATGGTTTCAAAAGCACCCACCAAAGCCTTGACCTTGCTTCTCCTGGTCTCGACAAGTTTGGTTGCAGTCTCTTCGATCACATTGTTGAACAATATTGGAGCCTCTGTTTTGTTTCCTCTAGCTTGGTGTCGAAGATTAACTTTCATATTTTCATCTTTAGCAGCATTTGACTTTCCATTAGCAATAAGTCTCCGAGAGCTTCTTCCTCTAGCATAAGCATTTCCATTTTCGTTGTAATCTAGTATTTTGACTGGCCTGAATTTTAGTCTCCTTGGACTGACTTTCTCAGACTGAAAATCGATTATTTTTCCTCTCCTGAACTTGAGGTTTTTAGGACTGCAAATTGCAGTTCTTGCAACTTTTATATCTTGGCTTTGGCTTGTGGTTCCACTTTTTCTGGAATTGCTGACTGTTGCATCGCCATCAAAAGACTCGCATGCAGAAATTGATGATAGGGAAGATTTCCTGTTGCCAAGGTTTCTGCAGCTACTGCCATCTGAGTGCAGAGAAGGGGATGGGGAGAGAAGGGATGACGGTCTCTTCCCTCTTTTTGGGCCATGTAGTGAAGATTTCCTGTTGCCAAGGTTTCTGGTGATACTGCCATCCGAGTGTAGAGAAGAGGATGGGGAGAGAAGGGGTGACGGTCTCTTCCCTCTTTCTGGGCCATGTCTATCAAAGGAGGAGACTCTGGCCATTCGAGTTTCCTGGGAGAGCTTTATGGTCTGGCTTTTAGTCTTTGATTCTCTGATGTGCAATGTCTCGTTTGGAACACTTCCATGACTTCCTTGCTCCATCTTGCCTCGTTTAAGATTAGCCCATTTTCTAAGTTGAGATGTCTTGTTTGGAAAGTTTTCATTACTTGGTTGCTCTATCTTCATTCGTGCAAGGCTAGTCAAATTATTAAGTTGAGACACCTTGTTTGGATCATCTTCATGACTCACTTTGTCCGTTTTGCTTGGAAGGCTAGTCCGCTTATTACGTTGAGATACTATTCTTGGGGAATCATTATTTGGCTTTTTGCCTGATACCCTCTTCACAGAAAATCTTGTAGAGTGGGAAATAGTTGTGGATGCTGGTATTTCCTGTCCCTGGGCTCGAAAAGTTGTCCGGCTCTTGAATTTTGGTAGCTTACTTGAGCTTAATGGTTTCTTCCCTATCTGCAACATCACAGTTGTAGCCATTTCTGGGACTTCTCCTGATGTTGTTACAGGTCTTGTGGGCTGGAGAGTCCTCGTCTTTGTTTTAAGATCACTTTCTTCTGCGTATTTGCAAACTTCTTGGCGAGAACCTGTTGGAACACTCAGTAAATATGGCAAGATCTTGGATTCACCTATTTCAATACCTAAGCTGCCAGTTGAGTTCCTTCTCAAATAGCTGACTTCAGTCTCAATTTTGTCGAGGTTGGGAGGAACGCCGACATCCTTTTTCTTGCTGAACTCATAAGATCCAGTGTCCTTATCCATCTTGCTTCCTGTGTTTGGTTTGCTGGTTGCATCATCCAATAGAGACCCCTGAAGAATTGCTGAACCCCCTGTTATAATAACGTCACTGTATCTTCTTCTGCTTTTGTTGCTTGATACCGAATAAGCATTTTCTTCCAGAGGCTGCAGCTTCGAATCTCTTTGATGACTTGCAGAAACAGCCAATGTTTTGGTGCATGCTTGCATTTCCTCTTCGTGGGAAGTTGTCAACCTTCTGAGATTTGCAGGTAATTTAGTTGTTCTCCATATCTGCCACTTCATAGTTGTCGCCAGTTTTGAATTTTCTCCTGATGTTAAAGATCTTGTGGACATGTGAGTCCTTGCTATTGTTTTAAAGTTGCATTCCACACCATCTTTGCTAGCATCAAGCCAAGAACTTGTTGGAACACTTACATGACGTGACAAGACCTTGGAGTCACCCATTTCATTACCTAAGTTTCCAGTTGAGTTCCTTCTCAAATACCCGACTTCATTCTCAATTTTCTCCAAGTTTGCAGGTTTCCCAACAGTCTTCTTGTTGCTCAACTTAGAAGATCCAGTGTTCTTGTCCATCCGGCTTCCTTTGTTTGGTGTGCTGGTTGCACCATCCAATGGAGAATCCCGAGCTAATGGTGACCCCCCTGGTATGATAATGTCACTGTATCCTCTTCTCCTCAGCTTATAGCTTCTTGACATAGAATAAGCATTTTCTTGCAAAGGCTTCATCTTCAAATCATTTTGTTGATTTACAGAAACAGCTAATCTTTTGGTGTATGCTGGGTTCTCCTGTCTCTGGGCTTTACCAGTTGTATGCCTCTTGAAATTTACAGCTAGCTTACTTGATCTTGGTGGTTTCTTCCTTATCTGCAACTTCACGGTTGTAGCCAGTTCTTGGGTTTTTTCTGATGCTGCTATAGTAGATCTTCTCAGCAGGGAAGTCCTCGCTTTTGTTGTTTGAAGATCACGTTCCACACCTTTGCAAGCCTCATGGCAAGAACCTTTTGGATCACTCAGATAACGGGACAAGACCTTGGATTTAGCAATTTGAATACCTAAGCTGCCAGTTGAGTTCCTTCTCGAAAAGCCAACTTCACGCTCAATTTTCTCCAGACGTGCAGGTATGCCAACAACCATCTCACCCATTTTGAGCTAGAGCAATGAAACTATCACCACTGCAGATATATTATGAAAAACAGAGAGGTTTAGGAAAGCATCACACATGCTTGTTTTCTCTATGTTTCCGAACTGTTAAACAAGAGCACTTACCGATAGAAAACTGATGATAAGCAGAGACCTTTGATTGAAACCTCAACCTCACCAGTGTGGCATCCTGATTGGAAAGAAACAAAGACCTGTGAGAAAACTGCTAATAAAAAATGTAAGTGCACTAATATGACAACAGTACAAGGGAAGAACATTGTACAATGACGAAAATAAATTACTTATTCTGCCGCTTGCATTTCTCCCTCCATCTGACTGTTCCTCAAACTACTCTGGTACTCCTGTCACCTAATTAATACTTCCAAATTAGAGATTGATTATAAATGTAGCACTATTTTGACCACACAATTCAGTAAGTTTAACAGAATATATCTTGCTTGGTGGGAAATGTGTCCAACAAAACTTGGTAATAATTGATACAATTTGATCGTTGAGCCTAACTGGGAAATGTGGACAATTAGGACCTGAAAAATCTACTCTGCATGCATGTCATTGACTTGCTGGAAAACGTCTTTCAAACTATTAATACTATGATCTTAACCCAATGTGTTTCTTTTAAAAGGAAAAAATTAATAATTATAAAGAGAAGCTCTACAAAGCACTTAACGAGAAACATTCTTTTAACTGGCAAAGCAATGGAATCCCAAATCATACTTCCTATCTATTAACCTAAGTTAAATAATAGAAATAATTTATGACATCCTCACCTATTATTATACAAATAAGAAAGGGAAACGTAAGATGCCACCAATACTCCAGAAGTAATCCTACGAGAATCAATGAGAAAAAGAAAACATTTTTTGTTTCCTTTCAACAAGAGATAAGATGTTCTATAATGTTCTTTTATGAAAATTTGATATAAATCTATACTTCCTAGAGCTATACATTCCAAACACCATTGCCATTATTCAGAAACAGAATTCAGGCGGAACGACAAAGAAAAAACAAGGAACACCATAGACATCGCATTTACGTATGTTTTTTCATCTCATGGGAGAAAAAAGAAAGCTAAAAATCCTATTCGAAGAGAATTGAAAGTTGATTAGTTCGGGCGTTGGATTGTGAAACTATTGTATTGTTCAAACATTACGTGAAGAAGCAAAGCACAACAAAAATTTCAGGCAATTGAAGAATTCGGGAATCATTAACATTTGGATTCTAATCATCTTCAATAGAAAACGTCAATCTTCGAATAACAGATTCAAGAACTGTTTAAAATTCACAAAAAGAGAAAAATGATAATTTTGGTGGAAAATAGGGGTTGAAATTATACCTTTTTCTTGATAAGTTAGGAAGGGGAAGCCAAAGAAAGAGGGACTCAACAATTTGTTGACAATTTTTGAGAGTAGAATTTCTAAAATTGCAAAGAAAGAAAGCCAAAAGAAAGAAAGAAAGAAAGAATTAGAGAAAAGCGTTTAAAATTCATAGACATCTGTGAGAATAGGCGCGATTAATGCAGAGGATATAGATCAGCTTTGACACTAAAAATAATAATAAAGGAGGCGTAACACAACTTTAGACCCTCTCCTCAACCAACTTTTTGTAAAAATAGCACGGTATAGTCAGTTTTCAGACTGGTCATTCAAAAATAGCCAGCGTTTACGAAGTCAATGACAAATAGCCACTATTTTGCTGCAACAAAGACCGGTCCAGTATAATATACTGGAGTTCGGTGCACCTGTGTATGAACTCCAGCTAGGGGTGTACATGGACCGGGTTGGATTTGTTTTTACCAAAACTAAACCAAACCAACTATATCGGTTTGGATTGGTTCGGTTTTGTCGGGTTTTTCGGTTTTTCGTTTTTTTTTTTGTTACATGAATATTACTTCAATCTTACTTTGTTAAAATTATAGATAAAGTTTTGATAAGTGAATATATGTTTAGTAAATATGGAAAAATGACAAATATATGATTTATTAAAATATTCTAATGGAAGAATTTTTTTAGTAACACATGATAGTTATTTTCTTAGTCGTCTAACAATAATTTTTCGTTAATTTACGCTTCCAGGGTTAATACATGAGAGGATCCCAAATATTTCTACATTTTCTAAAGAAAAATCACTATAAACTCTTGAAAATATAAATAAAATTTATATATTTATATGTTGGTTTGGTTCAGATTTTTTTATTCAATACCAAACCAAGTCAAACCAAACCTAGTCGGGTTTTTTAATCGGTTTGGTTTGGTTTTTCGGTTTGGTGCGATTTTTCGGTTCGGTTTGAACACCCCTAACTCCAGCATATTATGCTGGACCGATATACTTTGCTGACTCCAGTATAATATACTGGAGACTGGAGCAATCAATTTTTTTAAAAAAAACATTAAATTTTATTCTAAATTCTTACATTCATTTATAAAATAATTGTAAATCACGAAATATATATACATATACTATCAAATCCTTTTTTTTTTTTTTTACATTTCACATATATAATTTTATTCGTATTTTCTTTGTAGATCGATACAGTTTAGCTTTTACATTTCATGCTCTTTGGCGTGGCTCCATAAAAATTGGTGCAGGAGTAGGGAATTAAGAGAGAGTGCAAGTTAAGGACGAGTACTCTATTGAAATAGTTTTTTGGTCTAAATGTATGAGAAACAGTCAGGAAAGAATGACGAGCCGACTTTAACAACGTCACCCACCTCGGAAAGTAAAAGAACATGTTTAGAAACGCAGGGGTGTACAAACCGAATCAGAAAACTGCTCTAAATCGAAAAGTTAAATCAAATTGATTAAAAAATTCGATTAGATTTGGTTTAATTTAATTTGGTATTGAGTAAAAAAACCCGAATCAAACCGACATATAAATATATAATTTTTATATATACTTTTAAGATTTTATATAGAATTTTCTTTAAAAAAATATCTAGAAATATTTGAGATTATCTTGAGGGATATAATTTTTAATAGTATATGAAGTGCTCCATATTTATTAATCTTAAATAATGGGTTGTATGATCACTTTCTCATCAAGTGTTACTCAAATGCGTCAATTTCTTTGTTTTTCCATATTCATATCATATGTTAATATCCACTAAATTGTTATATTTTTTTCAAAAGTGAAGTGATTATTATTATTTAGGTATTGATTTTTATGTTTAATTACTAAATTCGGTTAACCTTGAAAGTGTACATCAACGAAACATTATTGTCAGACGACTAAAAAAATAACTATTATGTGCAGGGGCAGAGCTACCCTTGTCCGAGAGGTGTCAACTGACACCCCTTCGCCGGAAAATAACACTGTATAGATAGGTATTTAAAAAAAAAAATTGAATATATACAATGGGTTGACAACCCTTTGACACAAGACAATCTTCTAGTGCAACGGTCAAGGGGTGTCAAAAGCGACTGAAGGTTGCAAGTTCTATTCCCTATTGCAGCATAGTTCTATTTTTTGGCTTCTTCTTTAGATTTTGATACCCCTTTGTATAGATTCTGGCTCCGCCACTGATTATGTGTTACTAAGAGAATTCTCTCATAAGAATATTTTAATAGATAATATGTTTGTCAATATTTTATATTTTTACTAAACATATATTGGTCATCACTTGTGTTGCAATGAAATTTTATGTTTCGAGGCCTTAAAAACCTCCCTTAGCACCACCTTGATTTGCGTGCACAGTCCGAGCGCGTAGCCGGAAAGCTTAAATGTGAAAATATGTGAAAAATAATAAGTTTTGACTGTAAAATGAATAAATTTGACTTCGGTCAATGTTTTGGGTAAACGGACCCGGACCCGTGATATGACGGTCCCGGAGGGTCCGTAGGAAAATATGGGACTTGGGCGTATGCCCGAAATCGAATTCCGAGGTCCCAAGCCCGAGAAATGAATTTTTAAAGGAAATTGTTTTCTGAAATTGTTTAAAGAAATTTGAAATGAAATTTGCTTTGAACATGATGGTATCGGGCCCGTATTTTTGGTTCAGGCGCCCGATACAGGTCTTATATATGATTTAAGACGTTTCTGTGGAATTTGGTGAAAGGCGGATGTCATTTGACGTGATTCGGACTTAAATTGCAAAATTGATGTTTAAGGAAGTTTTGAGAAATTTCATTGATCTCGAAGTTTAATTTGATGGTCATGATGATATTTTGGTGATTTGATTACACGAAGAAGTCCGTAGGATGTTCTTGAGGTTTTGTGTGCACTTGATTTGGAGTTCCGAGGGCTCGGGTGAGTTTCGGGTAGGTTCGGGATGTTTTAGACTTAAAACCAGATGTTGCAGGTCTCTAAACCCGCCAATGCGGTCCGCACAAAAACGTGTGCGACCGCGGAAAGGGGCCAGTGCAGTCCGCGGTCGGTTGCGTGTGGTGCGCGGTGGAGGCCTGTGCGGTCGCGGTCCATTTCGTGCGGTTCGCACAGGCACTGGACCGCAGTACCCTCAGGAAGGCCTGTGCGGCCGCAGTCCATTTTGTGCGGTCCGCACAGGGGGTCTGAGAGGGATATAAATAGACGAGATTTTCAGTTATTTTGCATTTTTCAAAAACCTCAAAAACATAAGAGGTGATTTTTCAAATAACATTTCTTCTCCAAATTAATTGTAGGTCATTTTTTAACTAGTTCCCTTGCCGGGATGTTTGTTTGATATTATTGTTTCCTTGCCGGAATGTTATTGAAATATCATTGTTCCCTTGCCGGGAAGTTGTTATATTGCTCTTGTACCATTGTCGGGATTCCTTGTGATTATTGTTGGCTTGTAAATGGGAGCGAGTGGTACGCCTACCACAAGATATAATGAAATGAGAGCGGGTGGTACGCCTGCCACAAGATATAATGAAATGGGAGCGGGTGGTACGCCTACCACAAGATATAATGAAATGAGAGCGGGTGGTACGCCTGCCACAAGATATAATGAAATGGGAGCGGGTGGTACGCCTACCACAAGATATAATGAAATGAGAGCGGGTGGTACGCCTGCCACAAGATATAATGAAATGGGAGCGGGTGGTACGCCTACCACAAGATATAATGAAATGAGAGCGGGTGGTACGCCTGCCACAAGATATAATGAAATGGGAGCGGGTGGTACGCCTACCACAAGATATAATGAAAGGGGAGTTGGTGGTACGCCTACCACGAGATAAATGAAATGGGAGCGGGTGGCACGCCTGCCACGAGATACAGGACATGGGATCGGGTTGCACGCCTGCAACAAGACGTGAAAAGTGAAATCCGTCTTTGTATTCCTTATCCTTGTTAGTGGTTGGATTTTGATTCCTTTATAGTTCTCTTGATATTTTGTTTTACCTGCTATTCCCCGAAGCATGTTCCCCCCCATCCTTACTTGTTTATTCCTGCTTTACGTTCCACTGTATATCATATAACTGCGCAGGTTTATCTGGAGTCTGGTCCTAGCCTCGTCACTACCTCGCCGGGGTTAGGCCATGCACTTACCAGCACATGGGGTCGGTTGTGCTGATGCTACACTCTGCACTTATGTGCAGTTATCAGAGCAACATCGGGTCAACAACAGTAGCTTGGGAGCCAGCCTTCAGTCCACCGAGACTCCGAGGTAGTCCTGTAGGCGTTCGCAGGCCCGACGTCTCTTCTATCAGTTATTTTGTTCTGTTATCATTGTATCCGAGACAGACAACGTTCCTTCTTTCAAAGGTTTGTATGTAGTAATCATAGATAGTCCGTGAATGTTGTGACACCAGTTTCTGGGTAGAGGCA